GAGTATGATATGCAAAAGCATATTCTAGATTGTAAGTGTATTCTTATACATATGTCAATTTTTTAGTTTAAGATAATCATAACAACTAATTTTTTCAATTTTTCATGTAGGCATATATTCATCTTTCATCTCCTGATACTGTATAAATTTCCCAAATAGGAAACCAGATACCAGATTATACTATGTATGATCAACACATTCACAGATTTGTTCAACAAGAAATATATAATAGTTCAAGAAAAATATGCATATCATATTGAAGATTGTAATGTGTTAAAACCATGTCAGTCAGCTATAATTCAGGTTCAGAGTCTGAACTGAAAGCCTTTCAATTACTATTGTCTAAATGGTACCTTTTAAAAACTTTATTCAGGTAACTGAATAAAAGATTTCACATTGCAGAAAGCAATTTCACCATCATTAGCTAAATAAGAGGGCCCTAGGAAGAAAGGATTATCATATATTAAATTAAAAGTTCACCACCTTACAGCTTTAATCCCATTAGAAAAGATGATTTCTATCTGACTTAATCAGCCAGAGGTCTTTATTGCCTGAAGTATTAATTGATTTAGGTCTTCATTAAGGTCAGAGGTACACGTGGCTGACCAGAGGCTGCCCATTAGCATGTTGTCAGTTGTGCTTATTTACATTGACTGAACATAATGGGAGGTTATTTGACTGTTAGGTCAGAGGGTYGCAGCATCTTCTGCCTACCCTGACCTGAGAAAGGGCAGCAGTCACTCACCCACCGTCCTGCACTCCTAGCAAAGACTTTCCTGATTGCGTATTGACTTCATCCATTCCAAGGAACATGAATTTGTTCCTAGTGTGCAAATACTGATATTGACATAAATACTGGATGGTTGAAATGTCTTTGTTAGAAATGTGCCAGTTTATTACTAGCAAGCTTTAAGAATACTAGTAAATGTTTAATAAAGGTTTCCATAGTTTTATTCTAAAACAATCAGGGCCAGTTTTTGAAAAATACACATATTCAGGAATACCATTGACATTAGATCAGACTTCAAGCGATGATATTAATGTCTAAATAGTGCTTAGTTGGAGGAGCTGTTTAAATAAAAGTGCTACTATATTACTGAGTTTTGATCTCTTTAGATTGAGACCCCTTTTTTCTTTCTATCTCTCTTTTTATTTTTTTCCTGAATATATGAAATCCTATTTAAGAATTTATAATCAACAGACTTGTTTATCTCATATGACAATTATGAAGTTGTTGCAAGTAGTTCACTCACCCTTCATATCCATCCACAGGTGGAAAAAAAAAAAAAAAGTGCAACAGATTCAATAATAGTGAAAGGAGAATTTAGAAAATTAAAATAATCCTGCAATATAAAATAAACCACCATTTCAGTCCAGTGTTGCTGCAATTAACATGTGTGGTTACTCTAACAGGAAGAGACGCAAAGGGACAAAGTGTTTTCTCTAGGAACAGGTTGTATTCATTTGCTTTCTTGATTAGCAGGTTATAGGGTTTTTTAGAATTACTGTAAATTCTTTTTATTTTATTACAAAGTGTTCAAGGATCCTATTTATTTCCTTTAAATTTCAAATAGCGTTAAGACTTCGGGTAAAGGTAAATCCTCAGCCAGAAATACCAAAGTTTATAACTAATGGCTGCAAATCCTAGAAAAAGGATCGATTTGAATAAATCTCTGATTTAGTAAGACTGCCAGTGGTAGATTTAATCACTGTTAAACTGGTATTTAAATTAGAGGAGACATTTTCCCAATATTGTAATATAYGTTCAGTTGTGCAACAGTATGTACGAGGAAAAAAAAAAACAGCCCCTAATTTCTGTGGGGATGTTTGACTTCTGGTTATTTTCTACAAATCTCTGAACGTTTTACTAGCTATTTGATATTTGGTATTTTACTGATATATTTGATGTCTTTATAATTTGATATTAATAATAGCTTTTACTATGCTTCTCCAAAAGGTTTATAGCATAATATCAAAGTATAGGCAGGAGACTAAAGAGTTCATGTTCATATTTTAAAAAAACATATATTTTTTTTTCTTAAAGTGTGATTTTACCACAAGAAATATGTGTATGGGCTGTAGTGGAAATTAAATCATCAGTGTATGTTGAGAAATGAAGTGCATAAATGCGTGCATTATATTTTGGTTTTGTTTGTCTGTTGAATTTGCTGGATATGCCAGTCCTTTGGGTTCGCTTCACTGTGAATCTGTAGCCCGAAAACTCTTCTGTTATCCTTGAAGATGATCTAAAAAGATAAACTGTTGCAGAGTCCTAGCAGGGTTTTGCAGAATGCTTCCACAACACAGGGCTGGCACCATACACTGTGCCATCTCCTCCTGCAAGTTTTGGTATTGCGAGCAAGATAGTACAAAGTCTTCCCTCTTTTAGATGCTTTTTCCTCTGTTAACAGTTTTCTGTATGGTGCCTCAAACATTGTAGATGAAGCCTYTGAAATCTGCTAAAACACTTTTTTTCTTGCTTGCTGCTTTGCCCCTTCTGGTTGTTTATTTATATTTGAGTTTCATGACCAAGTCACTGGGAAAGAGGAGCCTCCCATCCCTTATCCCAAATTATATCCCCCTGAAATACACRCACTGAAAACCTGTGGCCTTGTTTGGATCCTTTCTCCCTCTTTCCTTCTTGCATCCACCTTTTCATAACATGGTGGCATGTTGGGAATACTGTTTTTCTATTAATTATGTCTTAGGATGCAAACAAGTATGTTGGGAACAGAGGGTTTTTTAATTTATTTTTAAAGCACTCTGCAAAATTTCTACTGAATTTGAGCCAAAAGCAGTGCCAATTTTGCTCAAATCTTTCAGAGATTTGTTTTGACCTTACTTATGACCAGTGAGGCTAATTGTATCAGAACTATCCAGGATACTTTAAGAAAGTGCTATCTTAGTCCATATTTCAAAACACTGACAGATATTTTATCGTTAATTAGTATTCATATTATGTCTCAAACAATCTGTTCAAGAATAGAGGAAGTGAACTGGGTGAATAGCTCTTCTGTCTACCTAATAATTAACATGGGCGATGCATGAAAAAACAGGGGCCTAGCAGGAGAAAAAGGAAGAAAAAGTGCTAGTAGGATTTTTCTATAAAAGTATAAGCTACCTGTATTGAAGATTTTGCTAAGTGAAGTACGTGGATTTCACTTAGCAGGGGTGAAAATGAATGGCTTATTTTAAAAACAAACCTGTGCCCCTCGGAATTGTGTCTTTCTGATTTTRCTTCTCATCTTGTCAGTATGCCACTTGATAGCTGGCTGGACTCCCTTGTTCAATGGCACATATTTTAAAATAGCACTACAAAAAAAAAAAAAAAAAGACCATTTGTTCCTATAAACCAAAATACTACTTGCATTTTTTTTTTCCAATTTCAGGATTATATATAGCATTATCAAAACAATTTTTTTAGTTATTTTAAACAATTTAAGTAGTTGATGGGTGTCGGTTGATATATTATGTTTCCTCTCTGCCTCCTCCCCCTCTTCAGCTGCTAATCATAGAACTTGTATGCCAAATTGTATAAGATACTCTTCCAATAGTTACATGTGTGAGTCTTTTGTGAGACACAGACAGTTATGAGGACAGATTTGGAGTTGCATATGGGTCTGTCACATGGTTTGATTGCCATGTCTTCTAGGACACAGATTTCTTTTTTAATTATTCTTAATTCTGAGGAAATTTTACAGTTTATGCAAAAAGTTCTGCAATGTTCTACCTAAAGGATTCTTGCCCGGACCATTTTCCCTCTCTTTACTCATGGCAAAATCTTTCCTGTGCTGACTTCAAAGCTGCTAACACCCACCTTACTTCCCACTTCTACTTTTAGGTTTCTTTTGATATTGAATAGCATTCACTGCTTCACTGATCAGGARAAGTACAGATTTTCTAAAGAAAGTACAGAATAAGAGGATGAAGAGTTTTGATATTTACATTAAGATTTCATAATACATCTTTGAAATGTCTGATCAGTACGAATGAACATTTCTTTTGCTGGCTGCCATTAAAAAATAAATAAATAAAAGTAGGTCTTCAGAGTGTTGCCAGGAAGACTTAGGGAAATCAGCCCAAAGTAACTACCCTGCAGCTCAGTTTGACATATTGATGGTGTATCTGACCACCTATTTTATTCAATTTTCCTACGATGACCTTATCTCTTTGGTCTCTGTATCTTGTCTGCCTTCACCTTTTGTCTTTTGAGGGATTGTGATTTTTAATAATAGGCAGTCTTTGAGTTATGCCACGGTATTGTTTTTATCGTATTTTTAGATTAATACATTGATGGCATTACAGATAGGTACTTAAAAAATAATGACGTAGCTAAACCTAAGACATAACAGTTGGAAAAAAAAAAAAAAAAGATAGCACTGAATCAAAGACACTTTGCAACACCGCTGCAACTCGTGCAACGYGGGGAAAAAATGGAAAGTCACTTAAAGCAAGAGCATATTCAACCATGTTGGGGCATCTGGGGCAATTATTCCCTGCTTGCGCTTTAGAGGGTTTGGTAACTTCCAAATGTCTGTCCTTAATAACAAAAAAGACTTCCAGTTAGAAGGTAAAGGAAGAGATTGCTCTTTTTTCCTCTTTATATCTGAGCACTTAGACCATAAATGAGTTTCCTTGAAATTTGGTAAAAGCCCTTCCAGAGATTGCAGAAAAATACTGTGGCACTGAAAAAGATTAAATTACATATTTCTGCTTGCATGTCATCAAGATAAGCTGAAGATGGTTATGYACTTTTGATTATCCTTGTGCTAATTCTTAAAGTTTATGTTCATGCTCTATTTCTATATTGTAACAAAATCCCTGTGAAAAARTGACCTTTAGATTGGCATGTTTGCTCCATTTTTAGCAATGTGTCGTATGATGGCAAAGAACAGTAATGCTGAAAGAAAAGATCTATAAAATGGAAAGGAATTGCATTGCTTTGCATAATCCCCAAATATCTTTTTTTCTCTCTTTTTTTCCCTTTCTTCCCATCCCAGGTGGGCGATGTGCTTTACTGCGCCGGGCAGGTCGCCCTGGTGCCCTGCACGCTGCGGCTGGCGAGCGGCGGCGCGCGGCGGGAGGCCGCGCTCTCGCTGCGCCACGTGCGGCGGGTGCTGCGAGCCGCGCACCGGAGCGGCGCCCTGCACCACGTCCTCACCGCCAGCTGCTACGTGACCCGCAGCGAGTACGTCCCCGTGGCTCGCTCCGTGTGGCAGAAGCAGCTGCGAGAATGCGCGAAGGTAGCAAGGACACCCATTTGCTTCTTCCTAGGTTCCCTTTTTGTTTCCTTCTTTGCCTAAATCTTGCTGTAATAGCAGGATTTTAGCAGTACGTTTCAAAGGGGTTCAAGTACAACTGGTATAATAAGGTTTGATTGAGCTGTTATGTTCTGGCTCATAAGTGGTTGTGCACAATTGAGAAAGAAAATTGCTTGATAGAAAGTTATATTCATCACTAACTTGGTCTTAATTCCCCAAAGCAACATGTCGAAGAATTCTTTGAGTAGCTTGTTCCTCCTGCAAAAACAAGAACTCCATATTGGGAATATCTCTTCCCAGATATTTTTACCTATAAAAGGAACTGACCATTTGCCTGAACTTCTTGGAGGCTCTTCTGTTATTTTTCCCTTTTCCCTACTTTATTTGCAACTACTATTGTCATGATATGAGAATTTAAGGAGTTCATTGTTGCTTATTATTCAACCAAACTTTAAAGACCATATTGTGGCATGTCTGGCTACCATTGACCCTAGATTGTGTTTAACAGTCTAATAATTTTCACAGTGGTTGGTAGTATAATCATAATAATTCCTACTATTAGAAACATTTTTATTAAATCACCACAGAATTCCTTGCAAACATGAAAAATGTAGTAGCCACAAATCTTATAAATRAAACGTAACTACTCTCTGAATGAGTAACCAAAAGTAGTTACTGTATACCTGCTACATATAACTTAATTATTATGGTTTTCTCAGGAAAATATGAATCTTGGSAGCGTAACTTGTTAATATTAGTGTAGAAGAAGGATCTATTTGCCTTCACTTTCAATCTCTGCGCTAAGTAGTTGTCTATCTGAGTAAAGATGTTGGCTTTGTATAGAAACATTCATCCTTGATTTATTAACAGAGAGCTCTCAAAAGTAGTATTGACTACTCCGTCATGACAAAGTGTTTTGTATCTGAAGCATTTCCAGTTCTCTGTGTAGCACTCATTAAGATATACTAAGATTTCAGTGTTTTTTTTTTTCTTGTGCTTTTAATGTCAAAATGTGTTGCTTGCTATACACCTTGCAATTTCTACTCTACGGCCTGCTGTCAGTTGTGTCTATTTGTTCTAGTGTTCTTGATGAATGCTTTGGTGAAAAGTTGATTTTTGTAATGTATTCAGAAGATGTCACTTACTAAGATCCTTGTATATTTAAAATTTACCAAAGTACCTAAATTGTACTGCTCTGAAATAACCTCGCCATTTGGTCTCCTCTTGAAGAGTCATCATGTCTGTTTATGGTTTTGTTTGGAAAGAGTTAAAGTGAAATCAGAAAGACACATTCTTCCAGATAAGACTGTAACAGAAGCCACTGTTTTCAAATGTTAGTGATGACTTCGTTTTTCTTTTGGTTTTTTTTCTTCTCTTTGTGTCATCTTGAGGAAGCCCTCAGTGTTTGTATCTACTAGCCATATTTATGTCATATTCTAAGGCCTGCTGATAACACCATAGTTCTTAAGATGAAGCTGGGTCCACTAAGGGTTTTGTAAACCCATAAGTTTTGTAGGACTTTTAAATGGAACGGTGACTGTGACACCTGTGTGTGTGTGTGTGTATGTATGTATTCAGGGTATTGCCCTCTGTAAGGGAGACTGATCATTTAATCAGGCTGCCCAGAGAAATTGTGGAGTCTCCATCCTTGGAGATATTTAAAATCCAACTGGACTTGGCTTTCTTGGAGCAACACCCTTTAAGTGACCCTGCTTGAGCATGGGGTTTGGACCAGATGATCTCTAAAGCTGCCTTTCAGCTCCAACTATTCTGTGATATTTTATAGATATATGTTCTTTAGCTGATATTTCTTAGATGTATCTCATGATGACTCAGAGGCAGCAATTAGACATTGCACAGTCGTAATAGCATTGAACTACTTCAGAGTACAGAGATACCTGTCAGGGAGTTTGAAGAATGTTCTTTGCCGTGTGACTGTTAAGTATGTACCATGTCTAAGCACTTTCTTATTTTATATTACACACGGATACTGATTTGAGAGCAGACTGATGATCCTTGAYAATTCCTTGAAACTTTTTCCAAATAGAATCTTTTTGATTTTCCGTAAGTATTCTATGAACCAGGCAGTCTTTGTCTAGTATTTTGTTTCTTCCGTCTCCTGAACTGACTTTCAAGGCAATACTTTTTTAGCTGCATGAAGAAATACTGATGAGTTTGCTTGTCTTTGGGTTATTGCTAGTATCTGGTCTACATCACCTTTTTATTGCTCAGACTATAAGTTAAATAGCAGGTTGCTACCTGCACACACTTCTGTGATGAGTTAACTATCTAAAAGATTTCAGGGATGTTTAAGAAAAAGCATCTTAGACCAGCATTTAGCAATTTGAGAAGATGCTTATCAAATCTTATGCTTGTGAGATTATGTTCATTATTTTTTGTTAGTGACATTATCAGAAATAGTGTAAAAAAAAAATGCTATTGGAATATTAAGTAATATGTGCTACCACATGATATAAAAATGCTTTGGAAAGATTTAGAATACTGCTGGGAATTAGTTGTCATTAGCAGCCAGAGGTACCAATTTCCCAATCATTTCATCAGTAAGAGCTTTGAATGGAAGAATTGAATTTTTCCTGAGGCTAGGCATACTTTTTTGATTAGCAGTGGTTTATGTACACAGTAAAGTAGAGAAAAAGAATGACCAGCCTTTTGTTACAGGGAGCCAGACAGAGGAATTGTCCTGTCCTGAAAATATAATTGGCTTTTTAGTGGAGGTGGATGTTCATCAGGGCGGTTTTGCGTAGGAGAAGCAGCACTAGTTTGCCCGGTATTAGGAGAAATGTTCTTTTTGTCTCATCCTACTCTTAGCAAAAGGAAAGAGAAATTCTAAAGAACGTAATAAAATTATTCTACAGTTGTGCTTCTCCCTCACTTAGTCTGTAGAATTAGTGAAGACAGGAAATCTAGTTTTTGCATTTAACATTTTCTTTGATTGCAGTCCACGGAGAAGTCTATCTTTCTGTGGGGAAACCAGAACTCAGTACCTTTACTTCACAGAAATTTGTGTTGAACAAAGTTGTGCATCCTTTTACTCATGTTACTGTCCAATACTAAGTACTGCAGTTCTTTTAGATACCATAAGATGAAATTATAGTCTGTTTTCTGCAAGTGCAGTAGGCAGCCAAACCAAGTGATTTTTTTTCTTTTATTATTGATCATTAGTTCACGCAGTGGCCAAAGGCWTGAATCAATATAAACCTACAGATTACTTAATAGGAACAAACAGTGCCTGAATTGAAATTATTCTACTGCCKTGATCCAGAGGCGAGGCAGGGGAGGAAAATCTGTGCAAACAAAACGATGCCACTCAGAACTCATTTATTGTAAAATAGATATTTTAAAGCATATGTTTAATTAGATTTTTAAGGGGGGACTTCATACTTTACCTTTCCATTCTTGAACTTTATTTGATAGTGAAATCATGGTATACTGTGATTGAGGAATTTGTATTTAACACAGGGACAAAACTATACATCAGAACTGTCAAAGCTCTTTTTTGAGCACCAAAAAATTTTAGCGTTCTGTCATATAGTAATGTGTGATAAATATCCTCTGCATAATTTTTTTTACAGCTTCAGTTTAGTCATTCTCTATATTTTATGTCAGCAGTGAGGAAAGCACAAAAGGGATTATATAAATTGTTTGGGACACAAACAGACTGGACCTAAAGGCATGCTATTTAGAAAGAAGCAAGAGAATTGTTATCTCACTGTGTGTACACAGCAGATTTAAGAGAAAGTTTTTGGAGCAGAACATGGGAGTGATATTGATCAAAATTTTGTTTGCAATAAGGCAATCAGGCAATTTTATCTGAACTTTTGAGGACATCTTGTCATATTATTGTCAATAATGTTTAACTTTTGGGAACTTCTTGAAATATGATAAGAAAGCTGAACTGARTCTGTTTTAGAATAACCAAATAATTTCACTGATACCCACAGGAATAGTAAGGATGGAGGGGACTGTAGGAGAGAGAGGGTAGGGCTGGACACCCTAGTAACTTCTGACCTATTTGAGTCAACCAATCCCAGACCTCTTATTCCAATTTCATTCAACCTTCCTGGCTTCCTAAGCAATAATTTTCCACTGCAATTATCCCACTTGCTTTGCTCCAGGTGCCACTTCAGTATCTCAGCTCCACAGACTGCTCCCTACAGCATCATTACTGCTCCATAACCTTGAACATCCTCCTTGAGCTCCAGCTACCAAAGCTATCGGTGATTATATCCTGAGCTGGAATCCAGCCTCCATCCTTTTGTTGTCGTTTTTCCTATGTCCATTTGGGTTTTAGAATGATTCAAAAACCATGCAGGATTTTGGAGGGAATGGGAATCTAAGAATCTGGTGGAGGGATGGGAGCTTACAATAAGAGTCCAGTGTGAAGACAAACAAAACAAAATAATGGAAGGGAAGGATGAAAAAGCAGCCACGTGAGGACTCACTTCAGAAAAACACTAAATCACTGAGCTAACAAAAATGTCTGGTACAATATCTGGAATAGAATTAGGAAAGGCTTCGTTGTTAAAATTAAATGAAATGGTATTATAGAAATGAATCAGGGAGTCTCAGTATTTAAGTTCTGTGGATGGATACAAAGGCTGGATAGCAATCCAGCCTGTGTTGTTGGTGCTGCTGTTGGAGAGATTAAAATATAGTTCAGGCAATCAGCCATTAAAATCAGAAGAAAACRAGCTGCAAGTACAGACTAGAAACAACTATGCAAGCAATAGTCAAAGCAAAGAACTTGGAAAAAATAATTGGAATGAGCAAACACAGGTGCCATCCACCAGCAGCTTCGCCCGGCCCCACTTGAAAGCCGYCCTCCTTCCCCAAAGGCCGTGTGAGATGAGCACATTCTGGGACGTGTTGACGCTTTGGGGGAGCTACATGTTGGGAGCTTCTTTAATGTACGTAGTTAGCAATAGTGGCAATTGTGCTACAGTTTCTGCCTAATCCAGTAG